CATTGGTGTGATCCCTGTACCCCATCTTATGCACAATTCTTATCGCTCTTTTTTGTAATATATATGGTGGTTGAAGTGAGCTTATGTATGTATTCCCCCAGTTTTCAATGCCATACTCTAAGTATGGTAGAATCAATGAGGAATACAAAATGCGTAGTGCTTTCAGGTCCTAATATATTTAACCCTTGAACCTCAGCAAGTACAAGTCAGCGACACTCTCTGATAGACATGAATTCCCCCAAGTCTACAGTGGTTTTTGAAGTACTTTGGGGTTCTGTTGTATAAATACTATGAATAACGATTAACTGTAGTTGTATGAATTCATATTAATTCAGTCCTTCATTCTTAGGCCAGAAACTGTGCTAGCATACTTCAAAGCAGCCAGTAGATTCTTTGATTTTGACAGTTTCTCTAGGTTCTTGTTCTTGACATGTTTTGTGTGAGCTAGTCAAAGTAAACTTGCCAAGCATCTTGTTCAGGCTGTGGGAGGAGCAGGGGAACTTCTCACAGCTGTGGAAGAAATATCCAGTTTCGATTTAAAAACATTAACAGAGTTAGACTGTTGGATGTCAGCAGGGAGGTTATTCCAGAAGAAGGGGGCACAATCAGAGCAGTCAGCAGGTTTCTTTTTAAATCTGCGGAGAGGCAGCAGTTTTGTAATTTGAGAGTGGAGTGCACAAGATGGAATATAAGGTTTAAACAAACTGAGCATCCTGATTTAGGATTAAAGTATATTATAAGATGGATAGGGAGCCAATGAAGGGAAGCAAACACTTGTGTAATGTAGTCAAATGTTCTGGATTTAGTTAAAATTCTCATTGCAGTACCTATTCTGCACCATTTGTTTAGTTAGAGAGCAAGACATTACAGTAATCAAGTCTGGAAGTGTGAATTATTGTGCCCAGTTTAATCTTTTAGGAAGGGTCACCTGTTTTTACAAGTACAGACAGCTGAGTATCTCCAGCATATGTAGCAGTGGAAATTAATTCCATCACTGCATATAATTTGGCCAAGAGTTGAACTATAATGAAAGAAGAACAAGGGCCAAGAAGAAAGTCCCGAGGTACTCCGTATTCCACATCAGAAAATATTGATTTAATATTATTATAAGAAGCACACTGTGTTCTTTCAGATAAGTACATCTTTAAACAGGCCAGATTTGCCAAATTTGTTTTCCGGAGTAGACTCGTGTGGCGTCAAAAGCTACACTGAAATTGAGTAAGAGAAGAACAGAGGTGGAATCTGAATCAAAAGCCAAAAGAAAAAAAAAAAAAAAAAAAAAAAAATCATGAGCCTTATAACAGCTAAGAGACAGTTACTTGTCCATAAGTTTGGCTACAGAGCCAAAAGAAATCTGGATGTTTATTATTACTGATTAAACAAAAAATATTCAGACTTGTTCAGGCTGACCTTTTCCATAATAGACCCATCTAGAGCTGCTAGTAGTTGATATATTAATTGGAATAAGACATCTTGTATTTTTCTGTTGCAAAACATCTACAAAACAACTACAAAGACCCAAGATGAAGGCAGAGATGCAAGATGACCGCAGAGGAATATTGATGTAAAAAGACAACCTCAAACACACAAAACAACTGAATGCCTAACATAAGATGACCACAAAGAGATGCAAAACATCTACAGAGACCCATAATTACTACAGTGGGATACAAACAGACGCAAAAGACCCATCAAGAGACAGAAGAAGAAAGCAAGAGACATAAAAGGACTAGGATAGTCTAGAGGGGGAGGCTGGCCTTTTACTAGCCTGTAACCAGGGGCCCAGTGGTATTCTCATAATGAACACTGAAGTAATACGAAATGAGAACAAACTAACGGCAGCCGTGTAAAGGGAGAGAGAGGGAGAGAGGGAGAGAGGGGGAGAGAGAGCGCGCATCCTCTGCGCCTTGGACGCTGGCTGCTCACACTCTCCGAGGAGGCTGCGATGGAGACACGATGAGACTGGCGGGGTGTTTTTCGGTGGACAGTGCCTCTGGGGCGTCGTTACCTGGTGGTTTGCCGGACTGTATTACTAGCAGAGCGACACACTGAGAAAAAGGAGTGTGTGACCATTTTTAAAGGATTATTGATTATTGACCATCAGCCTACAGTAACGACCGTCAGGACAACGGTGTGGATAGCTCCCGGTGTACTCTCTGTTTTTCTTTTTGTTCAATTTATTTTCTATAGCTGACACATTTTAACGCAGTCCTGTTGGACATTTTCCCCCCACAAAATGTTAAATTTAGCGCTCTTTCGACGTGGAGGATATCCGTGGCAAGTCATTTTTGGCTGTTGCCGGACAAGCGTGTAAGGTGCACAAACCTGTGGACGGTTTCTCAGACAGTATGATACAATATTTTGACATAACCATTATTTTTTGCGTTACGCTCTATCGCGCATGCCTAGTGGTAGATAGCCTGTACAACGCTGTCCGAAGCCACTTGGCTCCGTCCTGGCCGTGATGTAGGCGCAAAAGTAAAAGGGAGCGGAGGACTAAATAAAAATGCGTTGGCAAAGTGGCAACGTGGCGACCAAAGGATTATGACTTGAGATCCTTTACGAAGTAGGTTTTGCCATAAATTGAAGAATGTCAGGAACACCAAATGCGGAGGCTGAAGGAGTTGTCTCCAAAGTACAAGTTAAAAAGGAGATCAAGACAATCGTGGAGAATTTGGAAACCATCCTGGGAGACCTCAAGGATGTAGCCAAAGAGCTCAAAGAGGTAAAAGAACAGGGAACACCATACAACGCCTTGCACATACGCACCATGTCTGTGTCATGCTATGGGCTTTCGGAGCATCCGTCTCTAGGAGGAGATGGGAGGCTGACGTCCACCTCACTGGAAACAGCTATGATGATGCACACGCACATACACACACACACACACACACACACACATACAGACTGTTCTCCCCCCCTCCTGCCCACTAATGTATGTCATCATTATCTCCAACATGGAAGACATTTGGCACAGGAGGATGTGGGGTGTGAAATGACAGAAAGGCTTCTTCACCCTGACTCACAGGCTTTGACGAAAGTGAGAAAAATGTAATCTCAATTAATATTTAATGGACAAGCTGGTTCAACCAGGAAGGTGCTTTTGCATTGCATTTCATCATCTTAATGCTGCCTGTTGTTTCCTGTGAATTATCTCCTGCTAAGTAAGAGATCACTTGTTTTTTTTCTTTCACTTTTCATCTCTGGTGGTGTCTCACTGTTTCTTTATTTTTAACCCTCTTTGTCTTTTGTCTTTCACCACATCTGTATTTATCGCAGCCACTCTTCTTCATTCTGTCTTTGTCTCTTGTTGCCTGCCTTCTTTGTCCTTCTCTCTAACGTCCTTATTAAAGATCAGAACTCTCAGAGCTGTCTGATTGGATGTTTAAATCTCAGCGATGTGCAGACAGGAGTGCTGAATAGGAGTCGGGGGTCTCTGAAGATTTCAGGGATTATTATGAGGATATTTAATGTTTTTATTTACAGCAAGTTCTCAAAGAGCTCAGAATGTCTGGCAGCACCATTCATATGTCACAGTGCTCACTTCAAATCTGTGTTTCCTCTAATGCCAATCACTGAATCACTTTGCTGCCCAGCTGTAATAATCAGTCTGCACTCTTACCTGCTTTTATGTTTTCCTTCCACTGGGCACACACCAGGCATCTGCTTTGTTGAACCTCTCACCCTAATACGACAGGCTGTCATTCTAATAAGACCCTACTGCATCCAGCCTCTGGCTATGGGTGGGTAGTTGACACAACATCTGTCTCCTTCTGCCTCTCTGCTCCCCTTACTCTCAGTTTTTGCAACTTGAGCTGAATTAGACTTCTTTTGTTGTTTTCAACAGTTTACAGTGTCTCACAGCAGGCACCAGAGTTAAATGAGAATAAGAAGACAATGTAATCTGCCTATGGTTGGGATTTTGTGTGTGTGTGTGTGTGTGTGTGTGTGTGTGTGATGTGCACTCTTTCTTTCTTTGGCTTGATGGAAATTGTGTGGAGGATCAGTTATTCTGACACAGCGCACACTGAACACATAGATACCAGAGGGGGTGGCAATCAAAGCCATGTTTAGGGTATAATCCATTTGAAATGCAGTTATCTGTTAGAGCTCACAGACAGGGCTGGAGTTGAGCCTGAATCTGAGGAGGGACCCTGCCCAGATGCTTGGCACAGTCTCTGAAGTTGCCTGGCCTACAGCAGGGCCTGCCCACTGGGATACTGGTATCACCTCTTGTGTGTGTCCCAACAAATTATCAATTTAAAGAGTGCATGGAGAGTTTAGCTCCACTGTTTTCTCTGCCCTACCCTTCTGTTTTTGGCTTCATCTCTCCCTCTCACTCACCCTTTCCTCTGTTTCTCTCCTCATCATTCTCTCTTTGCTTCTCTCTAATTAGGCTCCTCTGTTTGGATGTGCATTTCCAACCTTAGATGACAGCCGTGGTGTTTTACAGTAGGTGAATCCTGAGTAATCTGAAGTGAGCATTAGCAATACAGAAAATGTCACTCAGCTAGTCATTGTCACAATTATTATGAATGCTGTAAAAGAACATACATGAACCTTCCCTTGCCTTCAAAGGTATTTTAGCATTCAGCTCATCTTATACTCAACTTTCTTTAGACCCACAGGCAATAGTAATGCAAACAAGAGTAAAGAAGCAGTAGGGAATGCCTCTCCAAATGGGATGTGTGTGGACAAAGTACGGTAGATGAAGAACATAGACACTATATTATTGAATATCAGTTACTAGAGTTTAGCACCATGTCTGTTCTGTTTGTTAAAATGCTTTTTTAATTCTATTCCTTTTGCTTATGGTTCTTTGGCAGTTTAAATCCTTCCATCCTGCAGGAGTTGTCTCAGCACTGCAGACATAAATATATGGGAGTGTAACTTTATTCATGGAGCCTTAAGGTGCTCTTGATGGTGAACCATACAACTTTGAGAAAAAGAAAAAAAATACTTCAGGCACTCTTAGGTGGAGCAAGGAGAATGTTCAAAAGCCTTTATTTAACTGGGTATCTCAGTAAAAAAAAACACCAACCAACTGGTTTTGACCTCAATATCCGGAGAGGTCGAAACCGGTTGGATTAAATAAAGGCTCTTGAATATATTCCCTGCTCCACCTAAGAGTACCTTAAGTATTCTTTTTTGTTTGCTTTAATGTTGTAGGAGGTGTTGTAGTCGTGTCTCGAGTCCCCAGTGTTTGAGTCCAAGTCACCAAAGAATAGTATGAGTTGTGTCCCCATTACCTGAGTATGAGTCATTAAAGTCTACATTAAATGCGACTGGCACAGCTTTTACTTAATATGTGTGAGTCAAAAGCCAAACGAACACACTCATACTGTAAGTCTACGGACACATGCTACTTATAAGTGAAAAGTGTACATCAGCTTTTTTGATACATAAAAATCATTTATAGAAAGGGAGAGGATGCTGGAAAGTGTGCTGGGTACAGCACAGTGTAGGCAAACTGGTTTTAATATCAGTATCTTATGCCAAATTATTATGGCCCATTGCAAAAATAAAGTCAGTGCTCGAATCTGAGTCCAAATCAAGTCACGATTCCTGAAAATCAGGACTCGATTCAAACTCGAGTCCAAGTCCTGGACTCGAGTACTACAGCACTGGTTGTAGGACTGGAGTTCACAATCACTCTTACACTTGTTACCTTGTATAATGACAGCACCATATGTCAGTCTTCAGTGGTGCAGTCAGTCCTTTGTTTGCCTTTGACAGTGGTGCATATGGATTGGAGGGTGGAATCAAATTCAGTTAAGCATCAGGCCCTGAAAGAATGTGTTTTTTAACATGTATGAATGAATTGTGTATATGATTTCAGTTTGTGTTGCTCCATCCTTACAGCTGTTCCTAGTATTTTCTTGTTATCTGTAGAGTGCCAGCAAAACAAATTTCTGCTGTAACATTTCTTTAATATTTCTCTGTGCAGACTGTGAAAACAAATTTCCTCTGGCAGGACAAAGGAAGTATCTTTGGATCTAAATATCTTATGTTTTGACAGGTTTCTGAGACAAAATCTTATATTCCTACTGACAAGAGCATTCATGCCATTTCAGTTTATGTGTTGTTTATTGCCCTTCCTTTGTAATCATGGTTTACAATGTAGTGTATTCCTAAATAATATTATAGTTCAAGACTGCAGATTCATTCAAATGTTTCAAATAGTTCTTTGATTTGCCCTATTCCTTTCTATAAAATATTCACTGGGGTATGTCACACTGCATTTCCAATGTCTCATTTTCCACCCTGGCACACTTGGAACATTATTGTACCGCTGCCACTGATAGACTGTGTGCTCTCTCATATTGTGTGGCTTGCAGAATGGATGTGATTTTATGTGTTTTCGGCTTTTTGTAAAACATCTATTTGTTTGTTTGTCTTTTTTTCACACCAAGGCTGTTTGCTTGATGAATTGTTTCCTGTGCCGTTGTTCAAAAATATGACACTGCTATTAGTAGAATGGATCTCATAGCATTCAGCATAATATTTATTTACTCTTTTTCTCACTCGCCGGTTGAGTTGTACTTGTTTTTTGCAGTATTTTATGTTTCTTATTAATGACTGACTTGCTCATTTTCTGCAGAATAATACAAGTATTTGTGCTGATTGTTCCCAAAAGGACACTGACAGTCTCCTGATTTTTATGTATTTTCACCCTTTTTTTGTTTGTTATATCTTTGTGTTTGTCTTTGTCCTCTGTGTTGTTTTGCTATACACTCACCAGCCACTTTATTAGGAACACCTCTGAATATAATGTAGTCCAGTACAACACCACCTTTAACTATGAGCTCAATAATAAACATATAACTGAGTTTATACATTTATGACAATTTCACCAAACACTTCAACATCTTGAGCCACATAAACACAGATGTTAAGGCAGAAGTGTTGCACTGAATCGCATACAATTCTACAGGTGTGCCTAATAAAGTAGACAGTATTTTTTTAATTCAATTCACAACGCTGGTTTTTTATTTGTAATGATGTTGTGTCTTGGCTTACAGGGTATGTTTGGCGTTGTTACTTCTCTCAGTTCTGATGGTACATGGGGATGTTGTTGTTTATCACTTAAGTCAAAGTCTGGCAGGCTGATGGCTGGTCCCATAAGTTATAGTGACATTTTTTCTCCCTGGCATGGCTTTCATAGTGATATCTTTGATCAAATTTAATCTCACAAATCAAAGTGTGTACATTTTAATTTTATTTAAGATGATTTGCGAATCATTAATTATGAACTTGAGGAGATAAAGACTAACATTTTTCATGTTCTTTTCTTGCCTTTCTAGCTCTTATGTGGATCATCATTATTATTTCCTCCTATAATGCCACATTGTTTATTATTCCTGACAGTGACACTTCCTTTTCTTGTCACCAGGTTGTGCATGAGATTGACACCCTAACTTGTGACCTGCAACTAGAGGAGGATGGACTGACAGACAGCTCAAAGACAGATACACTCAACTCCAGCTCGAGTTCCACCACCACTACCACCGCTTCCAGCTTGGAAAAGATGAAGCTTTTCCCTGATGACTGCATCTTTAAAACTCCTGTGCCCATCAACCCAGTCATTGGCATCCCTCCTGCAGTACTGACAGTACTCAAGAAACCCCACCCACCCCTACCACCACCAAGACTTACCCCGCTAAGAGCCGAGGATCACAACAATAAGAATCTGCCTCATCCGACATTAGTGTTATCAGGGAGTATATCCAAGGCTAACGGGTCTCTGCTGAGGAATGGCGGGATTTTCCCACTGAGAGCAAACAGGGATTTATTCTCCTCCACACCTTGCTTCATTTCTAGTGACAGCGGGATCCCTGAGTCGGGGCTTGTTCCTACATTGCCCAGACCTATGCCGCTACTCCGTCATGAAAAGAGCAAATGTCCCAAGGCCTCTAGCAGGGAGCCTCGTGAGAGGGAGCGTGTCCGTTTCAGTGAGAAGGTCCAGTACCATGGCTACTGTCCAGACTGTGACCTCCAGTACGATGTAGACAACATAGAACTACAATTGCAGGCTGAGTTGAATGACCTGAGACTCAGTCCTGTGCATTGCTGCTCTTCCTCCTCCCCTCCTGCATCCCATGCTCTTGCTCATGATCTAATGTTGGAAAATGGCAGCCTCTCGGTCAGCCGCAGTTTCCCACCAACAGCAAACATTCCTCTACCTTGTGTGCCTCCTCACTTGCCTTCCCTCAAACCCCCAAAAACAATCCTACGCAAATCAACTACCACCACTGTTTGACGCCGAATCCTTTGGTATGTCTAACGTAACAATTCTTGAATCATTCATAGTGTTTCCTACTTTATGAGCACTTTCTACTCCAGTTGATCCTTGGATTATCCAAACAGAGAGATGAAGGGTTGGGAAATGGAAAACAAAAGGATGGATAAAATGAGTGGAATAGAGAGAAAGGCATCGCCACGTGTGCTAAGGCGTACACACTGAGTGATCAGGAAGAAGCGGTGAGTGTTTGTGTATGTATGACTGTGATTGTCAGGAAGAGGAAAAAAAAGCAATTGCATGCATGCACTCATGCATACCTTTGAGTCTGTCTGCATAAAGTTTGTTTGTTTATGCATGCTCATGTGTGTGTACATTTGTGGGTGCATGTTTAGGCAAATGTGTGCATGTTTGTAGGCAGTGAACATTGACTAAAAAATGTAGAAGGACTTGAAAATTCTCTGACAACGCTCTGATTCTGCTGACAACACTAAAACTAAATTGTATCTGTGTCTTTCTGGAAGTTCTTTGTACTAACAAGTCTCAAACTCAGGAAGTTCTTTCAGAGAGGGGTTCTTATTAATTCATGACCTTCTGGATGAAACAAGAAAACCTGCTTCCCTCAGATTTCATCCAAAGCCCTAAAGATCTTCTCATACTCTGACACCCAAATAGCTTACCAACTCACAACATATACCAGAATAATGGCTGTTACGCAATACACAAATGCATAAATTGACTGCAGACGAATAGTGGCACCTATACCCTCGCACAAGCTGCCTAGATTAACGATAAGATTTGAGCGATAGACACGTGGGTTCATACCTTTTCTCCCCCTTCATCACCTCGTGTTCCTACAAGTCCCAGTTTGTTGGCACGTCAGACTGTAAGAGTGAAAGAAGGGAGACAAAATGAGATGAGAGTTATGTGGTGGGCTGTGGAAGAGAGAAAGGTGTTTTAAGACAAAACTGCCATTTTGATTTGTCTTTACCCCATGGCTTATTTTCTAAGAAATTCCTGTTTACCAACTGAATTTCCCTTTGTGTAGACCAGAACTATCACTTCCTGTGATATCTATGAGACTAAATGGATAGTAAGCAAATCAGTTATGCTCTAGAGTAGAGAGAACCAGGCAGAAGCCTGCTGGACTCGAAGGGAATAAAAACACTTACAGCAGTCCTCCATTATTCACTTTTAATATGAAGCTTATTTAATATATCTTGTGTTCCCTGTGTTTACAGTATGTGAACTGTGTGTATCTAAACTATGCGTGCATGTGGCTGAAGTTTTAAATATGTCTGAAATTGATTACCAAGGAATATTTAAGTGCATGCGTGTCTGCACATGTGTGTTTATGTATAGGTGTGTGTAAAAGCATGTCAGTTTGGCAGATTTGTGGAGACAACATACCTTGGAGTTGAATGAGAATAGTAGCACCTTCCTCACGGCGGTGCCCTTAATTAGCCGGATTAGACCACAGGAGATAGCAGCAGTGCTTCAGACAGCCTTTGTATCAGCATTAGCCTTGACTAAGCTCTGAACTGCTGCTGCACTTATTTTTTATGATAAATAAAGAGAGGGAGAGAAAGGAAGGAAGGGGAAAAGTGTGTGTGTGTGTGTGTGTGTGTGTACGCACTGAGGGGGCAGGCTGTTTTATAAACAGTATACTATGTATGTATATATATCATATTCTATATATATGTATATATCTTTTGCGCATTTGGCGTTGTGCAGGTGGAACGCTTGAAGGTTAAGGCTGAGAAATTCAGGGTAGGAAATTGCACATACTGGTGACTGAACCCAAAGCATGACCTTGCTGGCCTGACAATGTAAAATCTGCATCTGGATTAGGAACCAGTGGATATTCAGCCATGAGAAAAATGAGAACAGGGGTTAGAGGGTGGGGTAAGGACACAGGAGGAGAGAGAAAACATGTTAGACAGAGAGAAAGAGACAGGGAAAAGAAAGCGTGTGTGATGGAGACAGGCAGTGAGGGAGGCGGTGAAAGAGAAACAGCAGTGCAGTGGATGCTGATGTTGTTTCTGCTGTACTGTGCTTGCTGCTCTATAAGAGCATATGAGGATGCATGTGTCTCCTCAAGATCGTTGCTCTCAGTGTAAAACAGTAGCAGTATTTACCTTGTGTTCATGGATCCTAATGAGTGTGGCAGCAGGTCACACAAACACACTGAGCAGATTTGTGTGCTTCAGAATGGAAAGCAGCTATGTCATCAATACATGCAGCTCATATGTAGAAGTGTCGTTATTGTGTATGTACTGGTGAATACTGGCCCACTTCAAGCACTACCACTAGCAAACAAAACATTTTTTTTGAAAACATCACATAAATATATATTTTCTGCTACAAAAACGTTATTAATTTAACAAAAGAAGCTCTCAAATATTAAATATTGTCTAAACACAAGCAATTGTAGGTCATATTTGCCTAAATAACAAATTATTTATATTACTTAATATATTACAAATCTTACCAGATGAGATATTACCAGCTTTTTGGTACACAGACATGCTTAAATGTTTGGTGCTTCAAACATATTTCATTCAAATAAGTATTGAGGTTTGACACTCAGCCTTGTTTGCAATGGGTGTTGTACATTTGAACCGTACTGTACATGATATCGAGTCACCCTTCTTTTAATCTCTACCATATCTTACAGTAGGCTGTCAAACTGTATCTATCTAATTATATATTATGGTTATTATTTTACATCAGTCACTTCAACCTTCTAGTGGGAGATGTGACATTTGCAGTGGCTGACCAACCTTTGCTGCAAAAATGGACCCTCTCATGTTTGGATTTGTCACTCATTGTTTAATACACCCATGATTTGTAATCAGACCATTCCTGTAACACAGAAACCACTGCTCCCCTGACTATGGGTGTAGGAGTGTTTTTGTTTATTTATTTTTTTTTTTTTTACTGTTTTTGTAACGAGTATCTGAGCTCCAGCGCTCCGGCCTAGAGGATGAAGTTGTAATGGGCAGGGAGGAGGTGGATCTTCACCACCTCCATCATGATTCACGACTGACTCAACTGCGCTGACCTACTCCCTACAGCTCACAGCTCTAGTTCATAGCCCACCTTTCTCTCCCTCTCTCTCTCTCACACACTCTGTCTTCATTTCTTTCTTCATCGCTCCTTTGGATGATAATGCTTCACTCCCACTCAGCAGCAGCTGTATGCATCACAATCTCTCTGGGTACATATATCTGTATCTAAATGTGGGCAGGCCAGCTATTATTAAAACACATCTGACACTTTGTACAGCAAACACCACTGGTAGCATTTCGATTTGAATGTTTAATCAAAAAGTTCACTGACCTTTTCTACAGCAGCCTCTGCATCCTTCTCTCCTTTCAGTGCCTTAGTATTATTATAAAAGACTTTACAGGGATGAAGAAATCCACTCCTTGTTGTTATGCATGCACTAACAAATGACTGTGTACAGTAGCTCCTCCATTTAAAGGGTGTGTGCTTTCATTTTCAACCCTACATCGTCCTGACGTCAGTAGCGTGACACCTCATTTTATCAGGTAAATGAGTAAATCTGATGCTTTCAAAACTAATGCAAAGTCTCACAGAGCTGAAAGTAAAATTGATAGTTCTGTTTGCAAATGTAAAAGTGTTACTCTAGCTTGTTGTCTTATAATACAGTAGTCATTTGTGTGCTTATAGTGCTACTGCTGACTGTATTATCTTCATCCCATGTTCCAATCTGGCAAGTGCATAGTGTGCAATAAAACTCAATAAATGTGTCAGAGTCAGACACAGTTTGCCAGTGAATATTAATTAACTGTTGTTTTTCCTGGCTGGTTATTGGTGGTGATGCCAAGAAACACATTTGTCTGTTTTTTCGTTCCCATTCTGCATGCATCATTTACTTAAATTTTTGTTTCCTTCAGTTGATGACATTGCATTATGAACACTGAAAGGAAAAATGTTGTGAGGAACGCATTAAACTTAATGAAAGCCAAATAACTGTGGTGTTGCATGCCAGAAGCATTAGATTGTTAATAGAGAGACTGTATGCAAAGTTTATTAGAATACAAGATATACAGGACTTTTATCATCAAACATCAGAACATTCAAAAAGCAAATCTGGTGCACATTAGACATAAATTTTGGCTCATCTTCTTTATCTGTGAATCAGTCATGATGTGGGAAACTGAGCGGGCATATGTTTGTGTGTCTTTCCTTAACAAAATGTGTGCACACTCATGCTTTAATGTTATGGGTACATGTGTTTAAAGGTGCATGAGAGTGCAGAATACATGCAGCCATGTGTGGGGAAAGGGTCAAAGGGTGTGAAATAGCTTTGTGCCACATAGAGAGCTTTGGTGGTGAAGCAAACTTAATCTGAGGATTTTACGCTGGTTTGGAGTTTGTTAAAAGTTACAGGCATCAGCTGCACCTCACTCAGGAAAAGTAAACAATATCTCAACAAGAGAATCACATTTGTGTGATGAGAAAAACATAAAAATAACAGCTATATAAGAAGAAACTTTTGGCCAGGCAACTGCCTTTTCACAAAAGGAAAGGTGTTTTAATCCACGGAGAAAAATGTGCCAGACAGTTGAGTCCTATTAACTTTGATCACTTGTGTCTGTGTGTCTGGGTGCTTGTGAGTTGGCAATGATACCTTGGTGTATTTTCATTTTGCTCTGTGGAAAACGACTGTTGGTATTATGATTGCTCTTTCAGGTGGCTCTCCTCTGTGCAATCAGATATTCACACTAATGTGTTTCTTCTTTTTCCTCTGCAGGGCCCGCTGAGATGCTTGAGATAAGAGTAAAAGGGATGCTTGTTTCATCGACCCTGGTTGATCAGGGAGTGAGGATCCAGAGCTGAGGCCAAGCATCAACCCTTTTTTTTTACAGCTGGCTCTCAACCAACAGCAGACAAGATCTTCTAGACAAATTCATACTGTGACTTTTGAGCACTAAAAACCTGCAGGCACATGTTCCTGTGAAACTGAGGACACAGCAAGGGCAGGCACTGTATGCAATTGCATACAGACAGGGATTTTTTTTAGCTGTGGAAGTGATATTTTTGTTACATAAATAGTTGGCTTAAAGATTATATTGCTGCTGAGATCCTATCATCAAAGGTAAAGAGGCAATGAATGATGCGGTTACTGATCTGTGTCCAGACATCATGTTCATTGTACATCAAACTCTATGTGCTCAACTGGTGCCATACAAGCTATGTTTTTTTTTTACAATAACATGCAGAGGTACAGACAGTGTGGCATAGTTACAGCTTTAAAGGAACCTTGAAGAAGTAATAATTTGCATCAAATTTTTTTTGTATACAAATATACATGTACATGTTTGATATCTATATATTTCATGCATTTTTCTACAGAGACTTTAAGATTTAAAGAGATGATATTTTTGATATTTTGTTGGACGAGGCTTTCATTCCCTCAAGGTATGTGTTTTTCAACAGGGCATAGCAGGATGAGTTATTTATATATAACAACAGTATAGTGTTTGTAATGATGACAAGTATGTTTCAGTCAACAGAATGGGCTGTACTGTGAGAAGGGAAGGTGGAGAAGATAAATGGCGTAAACCAAATACCTAGTTGTGCTTTAGCAGACGGGAGGCATGGGGCTGAATCAATGCGTGACTGGCTCTTCACTCTGTCCCGTCATCACGGTGTTTTTCTATGCATTTCTGTGGGGAGGCTGGTGGGTATGACACGTAGGGTGCTCTGCTCACCGTAACACAGTGTGAAGAAATATCCCCTCTCCTTTCCTCATATGATGTCAGCCAGGCTAATTCTGCAGTCAATTTGGGTGTTCCCAAAAGGAAAGTTGTTGTTCCTTAGGCCAGTAAGTCATTTATAATTAAATTATAATGGTAATATTGTATATTTCTATAGCACTTATCCAAGATTACAAAGTGCTTTAGGAGGCCAAAACAGAAAAATACAGAAAACAGATAGCAAAAATTGTACATATAGTGCACACATTTTCATAGCCCATTTTGGCTCAGTAAAAGAGTGAGGACCTTACACTGGAGAGCAAAAGAAAAAAAAACATTTCTTTGATACACGCAGCCGCTCTTCGCATTCAGACTGGAGGTACCACAGTTGGAACTCCACCTCTTTATTCTTACTGGACACAGAGACAAGCAAGAATCAGTTTCAAAGATGAATGGAATATCTGAAAAAGCTGTCATTGACATTTTGTTTTGTGTGTGTACACAAACTATTGGAAAATAACTTGTGATAAGTAAACACTTTGCACTTAATGGTGGTGTGTCTGTATATATTTTATGGACTGGGCAATAATTTCAAACTGAGAATGTGTTGATTTTATGTCTGTATCTTCTAATACAAACTGCGCTCTTGAAAATTAATCTTTTATATGGTCGAGACTCTGTGAACTTGGACTCAGATAGAATAAATTAAACCAAATGGAAGAGCATCACACTTAATCAAAGTTCCCAAAAAGCAGCATGAGCAAATTTTTCAGAAAGAAAAATACATTAAATGCCATCAGCAGCTGCATCAATTAATTGAAGATTAATGTGATGAGATAGTGGCCTGGCAGTGCTAAAGGCCACCGGCTCTCCATGAAAGATATTCTAATGAACTCACATTGGCTTGTCACAGCCAAACGTCATAATATCATAACACAGGCCACAGCCAGCAGTTCAATGCCAAGTATGGATTTAAAGGAACAGGGCAGTTGTGCCAATAGACTGGATGAAGATTTAAATCACTACTGATTTCCCTAATCTGGATTGGAATAAGAATTAAAATGGAGTTTCAGATATGATAAACTTGTGTTTTTTTTAACTTAGACGGACCACGTTAACCCAAAGAAGCTGCAGCCTGTTAAAAACACGTTTTCAGATTTGTGAAACCGACGGACTATGGCGCATAGAGGTGGCGCTACATCTGGCAGCAGCGGTCCAAGCGTCATCTTGCCAAGGGCAAAACGGCGGTGCGCTTGTTTTCCTATCGCTCTTATCCGCATGTTGTTTCACCAGGGCGTTATACAGGCTGTACTGGTGATCCCACCCACTCAGGCTGCCGCCTCCCCGTTGTTCACATGACGGGGAAGAAAGGAGGAAAAAGAAAACTAAAAAGAGAAAATACAGGACGACGGGATGATCTAATTTAACGAAGGAGACAACTTTCTCTGAAGGTAATAAATAGTAGCACCTAGCTAGTTAGCAAAATGCTATCATACTGTTTGGGTTTAGCTAGCTTACGGCTGCTGTAGAGATCTAGCTATTTAGAACTCGGCGGTGTGGTGAGCCAAAAATGCTGACTGAATGCCACCAAAGTGGCAAAGAGATACGTGCTTTCAGACAGCGTGACATTAATTTGTTGTTGTGTCTCTGGAAACTGCTAATGCAGCCCGAGATGAATTCCCGCAAAGTGCTGATGTGTCAAAAACGTGACTAGCAGCCCGCCGGAGTCTGAGTCATTCCCATTAACAATGAGGTGGAAAAAACATCTCTGCGTCTCATGTCTGAAACCAAGTGACCACCATTTCAGTATACCCTTACTAAAACCAGCAAGACTTCAACTTCTTTGGTCGGTGCTGGTCAGCTGGCGGTGACGCCTGCTTTATAAATGGCCGTTTTAGAGAGACAAACGTGAATCGCTTGTAAAAATGGTCTTTTCCAGCCTTCGACTGGAGAGACAGAAAATGTCCACAGAAGACGTTAAGCTGTGAGCTCCAGATGTGATGGGAGGACAGGGACGGCTGCCAGCTGGATGTGACATAAACACGTGAGTAAAAACATTAAACGTGTAGAGTGTTGACATCATTTTGTCCACTCAGGTTGTATCACTTGTGCTTGCAGCATTAACAGCACCAAATGAAGAACTACAACACAAAGTACAAATGAAGTGACACCTGTGTCCACTCTTACTTTAACCTAAGTGCTTCCTTCTTAACAGATTAAAATGCTTTAGCTTTCTTGTTGTTTACAGGGGAAAGGTCTGAGCTCTAGTTTCCAGTTGAATGCGATTACACAGTGTATAACCCACCAACCAACGCCGGCAAAAACCATAATCCCCACCCTTGGTGGAAGTAATGAATGTAAAATAGCAATGGTGCCATGAGGGCAGACAGAGAGGCTCAGTGTATCTGCATCTGACCCTCTAAAGTGACCAGGAGTAGATGCTGAACCATCTCTCTCCTTTAAACGGAAGCAGAGCAAATCTACTGTTTCCTACTGAAAATTCTCACATCTTTACTATCGCTATGTTATAAACTTAAAGTATATGGTCATGTAGCACTGTGAGAAAAGAGTGTGCAGGTTTTTCTTTCAGCAAACACCATTTGTTTGCACAACTTAAAGCTCAGTGCAACTAATAAACAAAATCTGCTGATGCAGTGACTTGCTGGAAAGAAAAGCTGCAGACTGTGGACTAATCCATTTAACCTTGCTGATGACTTCTTTTTTATAATGCTCTCTAGGTAAATAAACAGTCTACTGGGGAAAAGGAGGAGGTGGGAAGATGAAACTGAATGAGCGCAGCGTGGCACATTATGCCACATGTGACTCTCCGCCAGACAAGACAGGCTTCCTGTTCAAAAAGGGTGAGCGCAACACGGCTTATCACCGGCGCTGGTTTGTCCTGAAGGGCAACATGCTTTTCTACTTTGACGAGCGCGATAGTCGAGACCCGATCGGTGTCATCATCCTTGAAGGGTGCACTGTGGAGCTGTGCGAGTCAACTGAGGAGTTTGCTTTCGCCATCAAGTTTGACTGTGCCAAAGCACGGGTGTACATGATGGCTGCTGAGAGCCAAGCAGCCATGGAGTCGTGGGTGAAGGCATTGTCAAGGGCCAGCTTTGACTACATGAGGCTAGTGGTGAAGGAGCTGGAGAGGCAGCTGGAGGAGATCCAGGAGGCTGCAGGAGGTGGCTGTGTCGGGAATGGAGCTGGAATCCTGCAGGGCAAGCCTAAATCCTCCAGGCGAAACCAGATGGCACGATCCAGGTCTGGAGTGTCCTCTTCTTCGTCATCTTCATCCTCCTTATCTTCATTGTCATCAAATGCCCCTTACATGCCAGCCCCCTTCTCTGCCCAAAAGAGCATCCAGGATGAGGTGCAGCTCATTTCTGGGTGTTCCAAGGAGAATGGAGTTGCATGGAGCAAAGCATCAGTTGCCTTGGCTAATGACTCTGCTGAGGGAGTGTCTTCCTATGTGGCATGGGAAGGTTGCGGAGACCCTGGAAATGGCAATGAGAATGATGATGGGGTGCGAGCTCCACCAGTGCCACCCAGGAGAAAAGGGGCATCTCTGGAAAGTCCCGTCTCCCCTGGCACTGACTGCTTCTCCAAACTGCATAACTGGTATGGCAGAGAGGTGGAGCAACTAAGAGTGCAGTGGCTACAGAGCCAGTAAGCGGAACACATATGGATTATTTCTTTTTCCAGTTGTATCATTCCTGAACATCCTGAAATGTTACATCCTTCTGAATCCAATAGAAAGATTAAGAAAACTGAGACTTAATTACAAACTGTAGTCTTATCACTAAAGACAAATAAACATTATGATATTGATTCCAGATCTTGTCTGGCAAAGGGGAGTCAGTCTGTCTTAAAGAATAACACTTTCCATTGTACAGTGCAAGATATTTTAAAATACCCAATATGCTCTTTTCTACAGTGTAATTTGCCAAGCACAATTATAAATGTTACGAGTATAATATGCAAAGCCATCAGGATTTCTCTCAAGTTACAGTTTGGCTTGACTGACCTCAGAAAAATATGCTGCTGTATTATTATGTTGCCGATTTTCAAGTTTTTTTTCCTGCATTTTTAGCTTCCAGATATACATGAGCTATTGTTTTGGGGCCAGGTTTCTCTAAAGCTGTAGCAACCATGATCTAAAATCATGTTTTTTTATAGGTATCCATGCATATTGTTCTAAATGTCTGAAAAATACCAAAAATCAACAAATCACAGCTAAAGTCTTTATAGGAGGAAAAGGATTGTTTCTGTTATATGCAAAGGAAAGAAAGAAGGCCACGTAAATAAAAAATACACTGCACAAAACAAGTCCATATAGATGAGGTTGCTATAGTGACATCCACGGGGAAACAAAAAAATCCTGGTGCTGTATGTTTGGTGATGCCTAAGATTTCCCCCATTTGGTGATGTAACATTTCGTAACGGGAAATTATGATTTAAATTATAGCAGAGAAATGGTTAAAAGAGCTGCAGATATTTTTACGATCTTTTGGAACAGGCAGCAGGACAATTAGCATGTTGAATTCAGGATTTTGAGTCTCCTTTAACTTTAAACCACCTTAACACTAAGATCTTTTTAACATAGGGACTTTCTGAAACAGGGAAGCACGGCGGTGCAGTAGTTAGCGGTGTTGCTTCACAGCAAGAAGGTTCTGGGGCCTTTCTGTGTGCAGTTTGCATGTTCGCCTTGTGCCTGCGTGGTTTCTCTTTGGGTACTCCAGCTTCCTCCCACAGTCCAAAGACATGCAGCTTAGGTTGATGGTGACTCTAAATTGCCTGTAGGAGTGAGGGAGTGTGTGTGGTTGTTTGTCAACATGTCAGCCCAGTGATAGACTGGTGACCTGTCCAGGGTGGACCACGCCTCTCTCCCAATGTCAGCTGGGTGTAGATAATTGATGGATAGATGGACTTTCTGAAATGAGAATAAAATTGGGATTAGAAGAGTTGGGGAAAACTAGTCCAGGTTCTGCTCCATACTCCCACTGGGGCCCAGCTTACCCCAGAGGCCTTATGTTTGCTAATGTCAGAGCTTCCTCTCGACAGTCACTAGGAATTGTGGTGGGAGCTGGATGTGTCATTGAGAGCTATGCACCCTGGTATTTTTAGCTCTTATTAGCCAGACGGACAAATGATGCTGTGTCACAGGAGCACTTGTCACTTAGTTCTCTTTTATGTCTTGTACTATATAAAAATGCTTGATGCTTGATCATACAAAATACTTAATAATTCCATATTATGCAATCAAACCATCTTAATTTGATCAAACTTTTTGTTACAACTGATTAAGATGAATTGTTGTGTGTGAGCATCTAACCTCTTGGATTGTACATAAATGTTTACAATTCTATGTTGGAAAATTAACACCAACAGTCTGCAAAATGGGCCTTTTAAATGGGTTGCTCATACTTTATTTCTATATCCAGTTCCACAGCTGTGTGCATCCTTGTTTTATATGTGCCTTATGTTACATTTTATAACTCTTATTATTGCAATTGAAGCCATCATCACAGGACTACAGTGATGGGTGCATTTGACTTTTCCTCATTTTTTTTAAGCTGTTCTGCAGTTATTCTTTCATTCAGTTTTTTTGCAAAAGCATCATCTTGGTGTAATCATTTTTTGACAGTGGCTGAGTTCCTTCACTCTGCATCATTGCACTGCATTATCATCACTGTTACACACTCGGGGTGTAAAGAAACAATAGGAGTCGTACAGTGCGGATTGTGTTTTTAACACAGCCGTATTCTTTTGACACATTCCTTTACATATTGTGAAACAGCAGACTGTCATTTGTAATTAAAGGGATTTGTGAATGTGTCAAATTAACCATAATGGTACCTATTTTTATTCAAGAGTGCCAAATGACGAATGAAACCTGAATGTATCCACTAACTTCTATGATTCTATTAAAATTTTTCATTGTTGTACTATACAATATAAGTGTTATATTGAATAACCGATAATATTTAACATGTTCTGTTATGGTATCCTGAACATTTGTTGTAAACCACTCAATAAACTGTTAACAGGTTATCTTGTGAACAGTTAATTTTTCTGTGACATTCCTTGATCTGAGTACTTGGAGTGACGTTAGGTTTTTCTTACTTGCCATAATACTGCATGTTCCATGCATGTTTTTTTTTAGATGAGTGCAGAATGAAAGTCCCTCATGAATTCAAGCAAGGCCTGGGCTGTGAAAACACACACATTCCTGGTGTTATTCAGCCCATGCCTCACCAGGTGTCACTATGCAACAATTTTAGATGGTATCCTTAAACCCTTGAGTTCATCCATCCATCTATTATCTATGTCACTTATGCTGAAGAGGGTCACGGGGGGCAGAAGCCAATCCCAGCTGACACTGGGTGAGAGGCAAGGTTATACCCTGGATAGGTCGCCAGTCTATCATAGGGCTGACACTTAGAGACAGACAACCACACACACACACACACACCCACGTTCACTCCTTTGGACTGTGGGAGGAAGCCAGGGTACCCTGAGAGAAACCACGCAGACACACGGAGAACATGCAACACAGAAAGGCACTGGGTCGCCCGGGGCTTGAACCCAGTATTCTTGCTGTGAGACAGTGTTAACCACTGGCCACCCTTGAGTTCAAGAGGGCGCAGTTCAAGGAAATCAATTTAGCTGCAGAACGTGAGTGAAACGACTGAATGGTAACAGAAGCCAGCAAGACTTTGAGTCTTCAGAGATGAAAAAGTACAGTTATAGACTGTTTTAATGTTCCTTTTTTCTTTTATACGCTGAACGGGCAACTATTAAGTATTAATCCTTCTTATTCATGTTCTTTAGTATGTTGTTGTACTAGCCTATACTATCATATTACTCTTACATGGGCTATACTCTGCTGACTTTGCTGCTACTAATCATACCAGTAAGGCTATCTAAAGCTATGGCAACAGATTATTTGTGGTATTGCTATGTTTGCTGAAGCACAAGCTTTCTCCACTGGTCTTTTTGTGCCCAGGGGCCTCCTGGTGTGCTCGGTGTTTCTCAGCGCAAGCAGGTATGCGTCTCTTATTTTGAAAAGACAGAGACGGAAGCAAATGGTTTGGGTTTCCTCCAACTTAACAACTGGACTGCCGCACGTTTTTTGACAGCGGAAATGAGGAGTCGCCACTTTTTCCGTGTCAAGTTCGTGGCTGAAAGTTTTCTTTCCTTTTTTTCAGCGGAGGAGCCGCATGTTGTGAATGCTGTCACAATGAGAGAGAAAGCGACGGACTTTTTCGCCTGCAGTTTCTCACTGTTGTCCAGTCACTGCTGCTCCTCGCCGACGTCGTTCTGAGTTACTTTAGACGCTTCTCAACACATTTCCGTTATGCAAAGTCCAACTTGTTGGTTAGTCGTCGTGCTGCGGTGGGTGCCCATCCGAGATAACGGAGAACGTGAGTATGTTGTGAGGACTGAGCTCCTGTCAGTTTGTGTTACCTTCTTGCCTGAAAGTGCTTTGTTTTTTAACACCACCATCCTCTGAGCCTAACCACATGGATGATAATCCCAAAAATGACGAACCGCCGCAGCAGTGTACACAAAGCTTCCGTTCATTAGCCTATTACTGTTTTTATTCATCACTAATACACGTCGAGAACGCGTTTGTGTGGAATTTAAAAGGCTGTGCCTCTCTCCGGTTCCGGACCGGGGCTATTGGCGAACACTTTTTGGCCAAGAAACAAAGTTTTCTTTTAACAACAGACTCATGCAGACCAGAAGGTCTGTATTACCAGCCGGGGGAGCGGTTAACTGCCCATAGAGCCCCATGTTTGTTCCGCTCTATTCCTGTTTATTTAATTTGTTTGCAAATTTGCTAGTAAATTGAAACCGTGAAGCGAAATATCAATGTCTGTCCCTCCATCTTCCATCTTGTGGCTGTGATCTGGAAGAGGGACCTTGCTTCAAAATCTAGTTTTAAGACCTTTTTTGTCATTACTTTTTAAATTACTTAAAGGAGTAATCAGTTACCATAATTGTTTACATTAAAGTTCTCTCAGTCAACTACCTGATTCAACTTCTCCAGAGTACTGGTTGGCTTCTTTGTGTGAAAATAATGAAACTGCCATATTTAATGGGAGTCAGTAGAGGTCCAACAACAAAGCTTTTGCCCCGGGCCCCCTAGGATATGTCCATGACCACCAAGTAGGAGTTTCTGCCTTCCAGCTGCTTGGCGTCCCATTGAGGGGATAGTTGGCACAAAAGATGCACACAGCATGCATTGTTTCTAACTTGGTAGTATTTTAATGGTATGTGAATTGACAGAATTTATTTGACACATCTGTCAGTGGTGGTCACCATGGTAATGCTGCTACATGAAACCTACTGTGACTCCTTTGTAATGCACATTAGTAGGCCAAACATGGAGCTCAACATTAAAAAGTAATTTCATGGCCTACCATAAATAATCAGCACATTAATATTTGAGCTTTAGTGTTGTTTGTGGCAGACGTTATTGAGTGTTGCGCGAGTGTGCATGTGCTCAGGTCAGCAGTCACCCCTCATTAACAGGAACAAGTAGGGAGCAGCCCCTTGGTTTCACAATTCAGTGCTGTATAGCAGGAAATGAAAACCGTAGTTTTGGTCTGTGCATATTTTGAAGAGGACTCGCTTCTATTCATATCACCTGTGTGTGTGTGCGCGCATGTTTAAACACGTGTGCATTTGATGTCTGTTTATCTAGATTGATAGGTGTGTAGTTGTGGTGGTTCCCAAAAGTTTCTTAAAGTAATCACTGTTGAACATTTGGTAGCAGTGATGAAAATGTCCATACACGGTGCCTCCTGAAGGGCCAAACTATATATAGTTGGCCAGGTTTTTTCCAACTGCCCGCCCATTTCCATAACAATAATACAGCAGGCCTCAGCTAAAACGCATAGAGAGCCAGAGTATTGTCAGTTTATGAGCTATTTGAATAAAAATGTAATAAATCCGTTGCATGTTCTCCCTGTTCCCGCATGGGTTCTCTCCGGGTACCTCAGCTTCCTCCCACAGTCCAAAGACACTCAGTGCTAAATATGCATGGGCCACATATGATATGTAGTGTGATTGAACCTGCAAGTAATAATGCTTTTTTTTTAACAGCTTGGTCTTTATAAACATTTTTTTAAAAAGAGGAAACTGTGATCATTGTAGTTTCTGCCTTCCAGTGTCTTATTTCATCTGACCAGCAGTGCAAAACCCAAAGATGTTAATTATCACATTTTTTTTGTGTGTTTTTGCTTGAAAAATTAAATGAGTGACTCAGAATTGTTGCAGATTAATATGTCAGTTATGATTAACTTATTCATCACCGGGTCTATAATTAGTGAGAAATCTCCCTCACAGTTTCTCAGAGTTTCCCACTCACCCTCCTAAATTAAGCTCAGGTTACCAGCTGTGTTATATTGCTTGGCTTTCTTTACAAACTTCATTTAGAAGCTATGAAAACACATTCATAGGGAGCATGTTTACCTTCTGCGGTACTGCGCTGAGGTTGGCTTTCTTTGTTGATTCAGTCATTTAAATGCAACTATTGTTACACCTTGGGTCACTGAAGCACTGAAGGCAGACAAACATGCCTCTAGGGTGTGGTAACACACAAGTAACACAAGCTCAACTGTAATATGTCCTTGGCAGACAGTTGTAACTCGGGCAGCAACAGACAAAAGGTTGGCTATAATCAGTTAATCAGTGGCTACAAACAGTTCAGTGCAGTTCCACATGCCTGTACAGTCCCAGATGTGTCCGGTGAATTTCAGAAAAGCGTTTACATCCCTAAAGATGTTCTTGCTGTGTGACAGTTGGATATTTTGGTGCTGTCTTTGCTTCGCTTTTGCTCAGTGTGTTGAGGACAAGTTCTCTTCTGCCTATGTATACTGCATGTGTGTGTAGCAACGTATGCCAGCTAACATAAATACAGTGGAGGCTAAAAATATGACCCATCTGAATACTGTGGCTTATAAAAGAAAGATTACATTAAAAATTCTGCACTCTCCTCAGAGAGGGGGCTGCCACTGGTTCAGCATGATTATAATGTGGGATTCTAGTATGACAAGATTATGTCATTGGAGATTTTATCTACGCCAGCACAGTATTGTCACAGTGACCGTCTGAGATGTCTTTCCTTGAAAGAAAAGACCGCAGCTTCTTGGCATTTGGAAATTCCAGTTGTAATTCCTCCAGTATATTTGAAGCATTGTGCACACTTTCTGTACATGTGTGCACATATATATGTGTTAGTGAAGTAGAAGGATGAATAAAGTAATGGATTCTGCAGCTTCGGCTGTCGGCTGTAGATCAGATAGTGTCATGGTTCCATGTCTTTAAGTGAGATGTTATCTCTTCCGCTTCTCCTCAGGGGTTCTAAGAAATCTACTGCCGAGACCACGAGAGAGGTCTGACCCACAGCCACCCTCTGGGGGGAGGGAAAAGGAGGCCGAAGGAGACGGAGAGGAAAAGGGAGCCATGGGAGATATCTTGGCAGGCAGACAGGGGTAGGACTCTGCAAAGGAAGAATCACAGAGAAAGAGGGAAGAGACAAATTGGGGCTGAAAATGGAAGAAAGAGAAAACTTTTCTGGTGACAGCGGGGACTTTCTGGGACATAGAATACACATGCTATCGAGTGGTTGGTGTGTGCATGTGCGATGTGACCCGTACTTGACCACCCAAACAGCTAAAGTCTCAGACTTAACTGGATTCTCTCCACAAACCCGCACGCAAAGAACACAGCACAGCAGTTTTTGCGTGCGTGCACTCATGTTTGTGCAAGTGTTGGGCGTGCAGGGCATTTATTTTTTTTCTAAAGCAGCAATAATTAGAGACTGTGTACGTGTTTACCCCAGTGCACCCCTGTTCTTGTTGTTGGAGGATTGTTGATCAAAGGCCCGATGAGGATGTGACTTGAAACATGTATGTGCCTGTAGGTTCTGCAGTTGCAGTATATGGATTTGTGTGTGCATTGAGGATGTAGGATGGTGTTGAGACTTTCTGTTTTCCCCCAAGTTGTTAAAGCCAAACTTCATAAAAGAAACACACCCTGAATAATCTGTTTTTAGTCAAGAGTTGTGTCTCCAAGGTTCATGAGAGCTGAGGCGATTGGACAATTTATGGATTAGTATATAAAATACAGTTGCTAACTTTAGTAGTGGCCATTTTAGCAAGCATAAACGCCAAATACTCTCTGGTTCCACCTTCTCCAGTGTCGGGTCATTGCTTTTCTTTGTAAAATGTGTCTGTAAACTACAGATCTTAAGCCTGTGGTCTGTTAGTCAGAAAAACAAGCAAACTGAAGACAGTGATGTAGGGTCAGAGAAACTGTGAATGCTTTGTGTCGTGGATTTGAAAAATATCTCAAACAAACATGAGATAATTCAGAAAATCCAAAGCAGATTAATCACATATGACAATAATTGTTTGTTGTAGCTCTGCATACACATGTCGAACATCTTTCTCTGGTGTTTTTTATTTGCCTGTCTGTGTTTTGCAGAAGTGGGAGTCATGTCCAAATTGAAGTGAAAGCAGGAGCACATTCTCACACAAAATACACAGTATGCACCATATCACTTAGGTTTATTCCCAGTATAAGATGAAAGTTTACCGTCACTGCAGAAAATAAAGCCTCCAAACAGGATTGTTGGGTATTGGTAATGTGTCAAAGTGGTGTTTTGTCAGTGCTAACGCTGAAACTCAGTTGTGTCCTCATGAGTCCCAATGTGGAAAAGTTGATTACTCCTGAATTAGCCTTCCAGGAAGTCAGATGCCTGCAGATGATTCACAGCTGATCAGACTCAAGGAGATGATTATCTCTCAGCCAACACAGTTACATAACAGATATACATAATATATACACACCTTAAATACAACCATGTGTCTTTGTAATTAAAATGAATCAGAAACACATCACAAGTAGGGATGACTCATTCATGAAGTGCTCGTGGATTTCAGACAGAGAAGTCAGTCACAAACTCTCGGGCTGGAACTTTTGAGCCTTGAATGCCTGAATTGGCTGAATTGTATTGATTAGGCCCCACCGAGTTGTGAATGAGTGATTATTTTCAGCGTTTCAGCAACTAAAGCATAAGAGTTACAGTAAGAAGTTTGAGATAGCTTTTCGTGGCTTTGTAGTCGAGAAACACACTTTAACCGTTTAGTTATTCAGTGTATGCGTATTTCGTAATGTACTGCAATATGCACAGTCTGCCAGTGTTTATTTTGTCAGGCTCACAGTGTGTGTGCAGGAACAAGTTTCATATATTCAGCATGCACACTACATTAAACAATAAGTGTTTGCTGCTTTTCTTTTTTTTATGTCATTGTAAATGTAATATCTTTAGGCTGGTAGTTAAAGAAAACTACACATTTGAAGATGTCACCTTGTTCTCTGGAAGATTGAGATGGCACTATTTCCTGGCACT